CTGCCCAGGGCTATCCTGCTCCACCCCCTGCCCCAGCCTGGCCCTCCCGTCCCGTTCCCCGTTCCGGGGCACACTGGAGTCACGGCCCTCCTCCACCAGGCATGCCCCCTCCAGCCTGGCGTCAGCCGTCTCTGCTGGCTCCCCCAGGCCCCCCAAACTGGCTGGGGCCCCCCACACAGAGTGGGACACCCCGTGGCGGAGCCCTGCTGCTGCTAAGAAACAGCCCCCAGCCCCTGCGGCGGGCAGCCTCAGGGGGCAGTGGCAGTGAGAACGTGGGCCCCCCTGCTGCCGCGGTGCCCGGGCCCCTGAGTCGCAGCACCAGTGTCGCTTCCCACATCCTCAATGGTTCTTCCCACTTCTATTCCTGAAGTGCAGTGGGGAGGAGCAGATAAGCTGGGCAGGGCAGGGCAGGGGTGGGTGGAGCCTGACACTGGAGGGCACTGAGCTGGAGGCCCCCGCAAGGGTAGAGGACAGGATGTTGGCTCCAGCTCCCCTCACACCTCATCTCATGAGCTTCTTGGGGCCGGCCAGTGGCCCAGGGCTAGCTTGAGGATAGGTGCCTCAAGGCTGCCTGGGAGCCCCGCCTCCCCACCATGGTGCCAGGGTCTCCCTCCGCCACCTGGGAAAGGAGGGAGATGTGCGTGTCAAATATTCATCTAGTCCCCTGGGGGAGAGGAAGGGTGGGTCTAGACATACTATATTCAGAGAACTATACTACCCTCACAGTGGGGCCCTCAGACCTGCCACGGGGCAGAGCAGATCTGGGGCCTGAGGTGGGGAGAATGAGAGGCCACCTTACTGGCAAGCAGGATCAGGATGGGGTCTTGGGGTCAGGATGCCTGGGTCTCCCCATTCCCCTGTTACTGTCTGACGTCCTGTGCCGTCTTGTCCTTTTTTTTTTTTTTTTTTAATTGGGATCAGGGCTGGGGCGGGGAAACAAGGGAAGGACCTTGGGGAATGGTCTGCTCCTGGGCCTAGGGGCAGTCGTGGGAGCCCCTCTCAGCTGTGGGGCTGGCACAGAGCCCCAGGCAAGCTTTTAATAAACTGTTGGTTATTCTAACAGACCTCAGGATTCACCCTTTCTGTCTTTGGTGTGCGTGAAGGACTTGCTCAGTGGCCAGTGAATAGTACTGGTTGTACTTTTTTAAAAAAGAGTATTGGGCTGTGTGTCTAAACATTTCAGTGATTTTAATGACTTCAGGTGTGACCAGATCAGATCTTAAAGGTGGTCTTCAACCCCTTGACCTCTAATTCCTGTTTTCTGTGCTTTGGCTTCAAAGATTCTTAGGTTTGCTTTCCACACAGACCCCAGGCAGCTCCATGCTCACATCTTCCTGCAAGGCTCAGCAGCCAGAGTTCAGTGGAGACCTCATGTGACTGCACAGGCTGGGCCTGTAGCCAGAGGCCTAGAAGGCTGGGACTGGCCCAGGAGGTCAGGGCTTTTCCCCACCCCTTCGAGGCTAACAGCCCCTGGACAAAGTGGCTGTTTGCAGAAGAAGGGGGAAAGCTTAAGCACCGGCTGCCCTCAAGTCATTCTATCCCCCTCCCAAGTGGGCAGGCCAGGCTAAAAGCAGAGGGGCCACTGGGCAGGCTGGCAGCACAGGAGCCACACACCCTTCTCCAATGGGTCTGGTGGCTGTTGGATGACAGGGTCTGGAAGCAGGGACTTCTTCCAGGAACCCAGGGGAAATTAAAGGGAACCACGCCAGGGGAGGAGGTAGAGGCAGTGACTCCTCAGTTTCCTGGCCCAAAATACAGGAGGTGAGAATGGGGGACCAGATTTGATGAGGTGATTACGAACACTCCTTTATTGAGTCTTAAAAAATAAACACCTTAAATGGAGAGCGTGAAGCTGAGAAGTAGCATCCCAACAGCTTGTGTCCTCGGGAACGGCAGTCTTCTCTGAAGAAAGCTGCTTCTGTCCCACAGACACCGGGCAAGGGGTGCTATGTATGCTTTGTACATGGATCAAGGGTCCTTCCTGAGGGTGGCAGAGCTCAGTTACTCTCGCCATCACTGCTGATGATGCCACGCATATGTGACCAGTCCGGGGGTGCGGGACGGGGCCGCTCTTCGTCTGAGTCCAGGGTCCGACGGTACAGCTCCCCTGGGGGTGCTGCTTCTCCTAAAGGGTTCCAGGCTGTACGTCTGCGTGGCCGGCCTAGGGGAAAGGGGAAATGAGAGATCAGATACCCGAGAATGTCCAACCTCACCTATCTGCTCCCGGGCAGTGAGAGGAAATCCCTTACCCGAGCCACTGATGATGTTCGCAACATCCAAGGAGGCTACCTCAGCTGCCTCCTCCCTCTGCTCTTTCAGGGCCCGACACTTCTCTAGGGAAGGGGTACCTGGGGCAGAAGAAGCTGGTGATCCTCTCCTCCCCAGCAAGGCCCTCTACTGCAGCCCCTAGGGCACGCCAGGCCTCACCTTTCATGCCTAGGGCTTCCAGTTCTGCCCGGAGGATACTTAGGCGCTCCTTGTGTGAGCAACAGGAGCCCAACAGCTTCTTGTAGTTTCGATGGGCACCACAGGCCCGAATGTAGCGCTTTAGCCTCATCACAGCTGGGTGGTCCTCTCCACGGCGACCTGAGCCAGCCTAGCAAGGAAAGACAGCAGCTGAAGGCAAAGCCTGCTGGGCCTGAGGCAGGGTCTCCCTCTTCCCTAATGGTGGCCTCCCACCCCGCCTCACCCTCACCTTCCCTCCTTTGGCCTCTGGACTTCCGTCTGAGGAGGAAGAGGAGCTCCGTGTCCTGCCTTTCCTGGAGCTCTTCTTGGAAGAGCGGTTCTTCCTCTCCCCCTGGGGGCCGCCCCCTGCCTCAATGTCACTCACTTCCCTCTCCAAGTCACTCTCCTCACCACTGGTGCTGCGCAGTGTGGCCGTCTTTCTAGAGCCTTTAGCTGTGGGTTCCCCCTTCCCACTGTCTTCCTCATCCTCGCTGCTTCCACTCAACCCTTTCCCATCCTTAAGCTGGGTCCTGTCCTTGCTCCTCTTCTGCACTGGGGGTTCTCCATCTCTCCCACTGTCATCCCCACTGCCTGCTGCCTCTTTCTGCTCTTCCTCGCTGTCTGAGTCTCCCATGAGCCTCTCTGCCTGGCTTTTCGGCTTACAGCTCCTCTCCTCCCTAGCTGACTTTCTCCCGCCATTGCTCCTGGCTCTGGGTTTCCAATCCTCCTTTTCCTCCTCCCCTTCTTTCTCTTCCTCCCCTCTGTGCTCTTTCTTGCCAGCTAGGATCTCCTCCTCCTCTTCATTCAGCTGTTCACTTTCCTTCAGGCTTTTAGTTCTTTTATTTCCCTCCACCTTCTTTGCTGTCCTCTGAACGGGTTCTTCCTCGCTCTCCTCGCTTTCTTCCCTGGCCTGCTTCCTACTGACTGAGGCGTTGCCTGGTGCCTGCTTCTTTGCCACAGGTTTCTTCCTAGTCTTCCCCTTGTCCCCCTTTTCCTCCTCCTCACTGCTCTCCTCTCCCCTCTGTGCGGGCAGGTCCCTCTGCAGTTCCTCATCACTGCTCTCCTCAACTGCCTTCTTTGAGGCTCGCCTTGGATTCTCCTCCTTGGCTGGGCTGACTTCTGCTGCCACCCCATTCTTTGCTGGGGGTCCAAAGTAGTCTGGGCTGGAAGCTTCAGAGCCGGATTCTGGAATATGGAGAGGAGAGAGGGTTGAGACAGGCTCCTCCTGTCCCTTCTCCCTTCACTTCGGATAGGTTGTCTCGAGCCCTGCCCTGACAGCTGGAGGGGCAGCAGGAAACAGCTATCTGTCCTCGCTGTTCCCGGTTCCTGACTCACTGGCCTCGCTCCCTCATTTAACGCCTGGGGATATAAGAGATGCACAGTGAATGCTTCTTGAGTGAACCAACGATGCAGAAGTCCCCCATAGCAGGTAGGAAGCACTAACCCGACTCTGAATTGAAGCGGAACCTTTTTCTCTCCGGGTCGCTACAAGGGGTGGGAGGCCTCTTGCCCTTCTTGGTAAGGTCCAGTTTGTCCTCCCTGGAAGCGGCTTCATCCACCTGTGTGTGCGCCAAGAGGGCGAACTATGCACCAAGGCGGCGTTCACCGCGCCCCGTCAGGCCCCTCCTCCTCGGCAGCAAGCCCCGCCTCCGCCTCCCGCGGCCCAGGCTCCGGCCCGGCACACCTGCATCTTCAGCAGCTCCTCCTCCACCAGCCGCTTCAGTGCCTGCTTCTCCTCTGGCTCCAGGTGGTCGCGGCCCGAGTGAGCCAGGTACCTCCGCCGCACGATGGAATGCGTGAGCGTGCTGCGGGGACAGGGTGTCAGGACGGAGTCCCGTCCCACCCACGGCCTTTCCAACCCCATCTCCAACTCCCTGGGCACCTGAGGTCCGGGCGGCCTCGGAAGAAGCTACGGGTGAACTCCTGCATCTCCTTCTCCCGCGCCATTTTGCTCAACCCGGGATTGGCGGCTCCCGCCTTTTTTTCTTCTCGGCCTCCGTCAGCGCGTTTGACAGCGGTTCGCGCACGCGCAGTGCTGCGGCACCGTGGGGCTAGGGACCGTTGGCCCTTGGCCGCGGACCGCGTGGGCCGATAACCTTGCCAGACGAGATTTGTTTTCCCTGGGCAGTTGGAGGGTCTCGCGGCTCCTACCCTTTCTTGGAACGAATCATTTTTAAATTTCTCATTAGAAACCGAGTCGGCGCCGGCAACCTTTGGGTGAAACGTAATCAGCCCGCGACTCTGCCTTCCTTCGTGGTCACGGGCACCAGCTAGGCCGCTATTATTTCGCAAGGCAGAAGAGAAGAGGCATCCTCGCGAGGAGACGAGGAACCTCGGGGGAAAATCCTTTTGTGGCTTCAAGTGTCTAAGCACATTAGAGTCAGGAACGGCGCCCTCCAGCGTCCGCCATTTTTGTGGCGTCGCCGCGTCACTGCTGCGCCATTCCCAGCGCAGCCACTCGCCACCGCGCTCCTTTCCCAGTATTCCCCGGCAGGGCGGCCCATGCGGTGACGCCGCCTGGGCGCCCGGTACGCCGGGAGTTGTAGTCCCGGTGGCACAGCCTTGCAGAGTCTCCGGAAGTGGAGGCGTGAGCGACGGGGCAGCGCCTGCTTGGGGTAGCGGGACTGCAGAAGCTGGGCGCCACTGCCGGGCCGGTCATGAACGGGCCGGCGGACGGTGAAGTGGACTACAAAAAGAAATACCGGAATCTGAAACGGAAGCTCAAGTTCCTCATCTACGTGAGTGCTGCCGCGGGAAGGCTGTAGAGGGGGGAGGCCTGGCGCGGACAAAATCTCAGTTTACTCAGGTGTAAAGTGGGTGGGGCGAGCGGCTGCCGGTTCCGAGGCCCTTCACGGAGGACCGTTGGCCCAGCGCACCCCTTGCCCATGATACAGGAGCACGAGTGCTTCCAGGAGGAGCTGAGGAAAGCGCAAAGGAAATTACTGAAGGTGTCCCGGGACAAGAGGTGAGGCACGTTGCAGGGGCGGAGGGCGATGTGGTTCCTAGGCAGTCTACATTGGGACCCCATCCCCGAGTAGGGCCACAAGTGCATGGGCTCTTTCAAGGATCCGATGGGTCTGCTGGGAGGGTCAGGGGCCCAGGGGGACAGTGCTGCGCTGGGAAATCACTGTCCGTCTCTCCTTCTCTCTCCTCAGTTTCCTCCTAGACCGACTTCTGCAGTACGAGAATGTGGATGAAGACTCTTCAGGTGAGCAAGGTCTTGAAAAATTGGTGGAGGGCGTGGTTCCTGGCACTTAGCAAGCTTCCTGGACCCCAGCCTTTTAGGCAGTGGCAGCTGATGCAGCCCCCAGTGGTCCTTAAGCCTAGTTGCTTGCCTTCCACCTGCACCGTTCTTTTATTCAGGCACTTACTGAGCACCTATTGTGTTTCAGGCATTGTGCTTGGCACAGGGGATACAGCAGAGGCAGAGACAGGCAAAGCCCTTGGTCTCTTGTAATTTATATTTTCGTTGGGAAAAATAAGTAAATGAAGACAATACACTAGAATTTTAGGTCATAGTAAGGACTTGAAGGTAATGAAAGCAGTTATGTGGTAATGATTATAGTACAACAGGGGTTGATGAATTGTTTCTGCAAAGGGCCAGATGGTAAGTAAGCTTTCTGCAACATACAATCTTTGAAGCACCTACTGAACTCTGTCTGCCGTTGTAGTAGCAGCCATGCCCCATAGGCAAATAAATGAGTAGGGCTATGTTTCTATAAAACTTTATAGGCACTGAAATTTGAATTTCGTGTTATTTCCATGAAAAATTTTTCTTTAGTTTTTTTTTTCTTCAAACATTTAAAAGCTTAAAAGGCATTCTTGGCCGGGCACAGTGGCTCACGCCTGTAATCCCAGCACTTTGGTAGGCCGAAGTGGGTGGATCACAAGGTCAAGAGTTAAAGACCAGCCTGACCAACATGGTGAAACCCCGTCCCTACTAAAGATACAAAAATTAGCTGGGTGTGGTGGCGTGCGCCTGTAATCCCAGCTACTGGGGAGGCTGAGGCAGGAGAATCATTTGAACCCTGGAGGCAAAGGTTGCAGTGAGCTGAGATCGCTGCCACTGCATTCCACAGGGCAAAACTGCATCTCAAAAAAAGAAAAAAAAAGCCATTCTTAGCTTGCAGACAGCAACAAGCAGGCAGCAGGCAACGCCTGAATAGAGTACTCAAGAAAGGCTTTTCACGGAGTGACGTTTGAGTTGGGACCAGATAAGAAACCAGGCTTCCATCCTGGGCAACATAGTGAGACCCCATCTCAATTTTAAAAAAAAAAAAACCATGTATAGTTGTGTATACATGTGGTCCCAGCTACTTGGGAGGCAGAACCAGGAGGATCCCTTGCCTGAAAGGTCAAGGCTGCAGTGAGTCATGATAGCACCACTGTGCTCCAGCCTGGGTGACAGAGCAAGAGTGTCTCAAAAAAAAGAGAAAGAAACCCCATCCTGGCTAACATGGTGAAATCCCGTCTCTATTTAAAATACAAAAAATTAGCCAGGCGTGGTGGGGGGCGCCTGTAGTCCTAGCTACTCGGGAGGCTGAGGCAGGAGAATGGGCGTGAACCTGGGAGGCGGAGCTTGCAGTGAGCCGAGATTGCGCCACTGCACTTCAGCCTGGGCAACCGAGCGAGATTCCGTCTAAAAAAAAAGAAAAACCAACCTTGTGAAGAAGTGAGCTGGAGCTGCCCCAGCAGAATAATAAATGCAGCTACCCTGAGGTAAGAACCGGCCAGGCTTGGTTGAAAAGCAGAGGGATGAAAAAGAGAGAACACTGTTTTCATCTCTTTATTTAAATATTGTCTGCAATTAACTATGTTTTCCATCATAACCGGAGCCCCACATGCATACCTACAAAACAAAGTTTAGTGAAACATTTTTAAGATCACTGTATCCAATTCATCCTGATACTTTTTAGATTGCTTTTTTTCCCTTCCTTTAGTGCTGGTTGCACACCAGTAAATTGATTTCATGACTCACTAATGGATTGAGACCCACAGTTTGAAAAAACCCTAAGGTGGGCATTTGTGGGCCTCTTCCTGGGTGGGGCCCTCATAAGCCATGTCATGTAGAATCACCTCTCTCCAAGGTGCCTTTAAACATTGGTCTGAGGCAGGGATCGGCATGTAGCAGCCAGCCATGTTTTGGGACGTAGTGTTTTGTCAGAACGCATGATACCCATTTGCTTGCTATTATAGGAGGATTGTAGATAAGGTTAGGGAAATAGGCAGGGGCTCACTCAGGTAGGTCATAGTAGGAGGTTTGGCTTTTATTGCAGCCTCTCATCCCCTGCCTCTCCTTTTCCTAGGGTCTTCCAGTTAACATCCTGTTTGAGGGGAATTCAGGGCAGGAGGTGGGAGAGGACCCAGCATGTTCATGGCTAGAGTGGGTTGCATCTGAGGAGCAAAGGCCAGCAATATGAGCCCCACTCCTGTCATGGAGGCCCACACCCTGGCCAGGGAGACACATGCAAATGACACTTTTCAGCACAGTATGAGCGCAGCCATGATGAGTAAGAGTAGAGGGTTCCAGGAGAGCCTGCAGTTAATTGGGCTTGAGGGATTCTGGAAGACTTCCCAGAGGCGGTGGCATTTGATCTGCTTCTTAAAGGGTCTCTCTGAGCAGAGACATTGGTAATGGCTTCTATTCCATGAAAGATGGCCCTTCTAGGCAGAGGCACTGAATAGGAAATACATTTCTTTTTTGACGAAATAGGTCAGTGTGCTGTAAAGAATACAGTTACGTTAGTTGATCGGAAAGGTGTGTTGAAGCCAGATTAAGCAGCACCATGAATTCGTGCAGGTAGTGGAGGATGTCATCAAGAAGGATGTGACCAGGTTTGTTTTAGCTCACTGTGGGGTTGGGGGTGGACAGTGGATGGCAGGGTGATGTGAGACTGCTTAGCAGGTGATTTTGACATGCTGGTGGCCTGACCTGTGTTAGTTGGCGTGGGGAGCAGTGGATGAAGGGGAGGAGTTCAGGGGTGGATGAACAGGACCCTGGTTATGGGGTGTAGGGCAGAGGCAGGAGCTGAAGACAGCTCAGCTCAGAGGCAAGGAACCAGTGGCATCAAATAGCCAAGGAGTCAGAGTCTCAGCCTCACACCTTACTTTCTGAGCCTCGGTGACCTCATGTGACAAGTGGAGGTGCTGCCCTTCCCATCCTTCCTTGGATCTGATGGCAAGGAGAGGTGGTGAGTGGGAAGGAGCCCGGCACGCTGGCCATGCGTGGCAGGTGTGTTACGGAGGAATCAGAGCGGGAGGGGCGCTGGGGAGGCTGGAGAGGCTGTGGACCTCCCTGGGACAGCTCAGGTGTGTGGTGCATGTGCGTGCCCACTAGCTGGTGAGTCAAAATCCCCCCCGGGAGCCCTTCTATTGGGTTTTTGGTTTGTTTTGTTTTTTTGAGGCAGGGTCTTGCTCTGTCACCCAGGCTGGTGTGCAGTGTTACAATCACAGCTCACTGCAGCCTCAATCTCCAAGCAGTTCTCCTGCCTCAGCCTCCTGAGTAGCTGGGACTACAGGCACATGCCACCATGCTCGGGTAATTGCTTTTGTTTTTAATAGAGATGAGGTCTCGCTTGGTTGTCCAGGCTGCTCTTGAACTCCTGGCCTCAAGCGATCTGGCCACCTCAGCCTCTCACAGTGCTGGGATTCCGGGCATGAGCCCCCGCACCTGGTCCTCCGGTGCCCTTCTGTAGTGTGGAGGAGGTTATACCCTTCTGGGATGGACTGGGATCCCCCACCCCCCTGACCATCTGTCCCCGTCACAGACTCAGATGCCACTGCATCATCAGATAACAGCGAGACCGAGGGGACACCCAAGTTGTCTGACACACCGGCCCCTAAGAGGTGAGAAGAAGATGCATTCCTCTCGCTGGGGAGGGTCAGGTGGGGCGCCTGGGCTCCCAGCCACCTCTGACCCCGCGCTGTCCTTTCTCCAGGAAGAGAAGCCCTCCGCTGGGGGGGGCCCCCTCTCCCTCCAGCCTCTCCCTGCCTCCTTCAACAGGGTTTCCCCTTCAGGCCTCCGGGGTTCCCTCCCCATACCTGAGCTCGGTGAGTTGGGGTCAGGGGTGGGAAGTGGTGAACTAATATGCCTGGGAGTAAGGTGGGCATCGTTTGGGCAGAAGAGCTGGGCCTCCGGGCAAGGCCTGCCCAACTTTGGGGACATCTGTCTGGGTGTGGCCCAAGTGTCCCATGGAGGGTGTGAGTGGGGGCTGCCCCCTTCTCTCTGGTATAGGAACGGGGCCAGGCGTGACTGAGGAGAGCAAAGCCCAGGACAGCATCCTGCTGCTGCCCGGCCCTTCTGTGTTCGGGAGCCCCGGGAGCCGCACTCATCACCATCTCTTTTGTTTTTCCATCTTCCTCCTGTTTGCATTTCTTTCCCCACCCTCACCCCGGTCCACTCCGCCTCCCATCTCCATCCCCGCTCCCGCCCGCAGCTGGCCTCCCCCCGCTACCCCCCATTCCCTTCTGACTACCTGGCCCTGCAGCTGCCCGAGCCCAGCCCCCTGAGGCCCAAGCGGGAGAAACGGCCCCGCCTGCCCCGGAAACTCAAGGTACCCTGACGTGGGGGCGCTAGGGAGGGGCAGGACGGCAGGAGGAGAGCCACCTGAGGGAGGCTCAAGGCGGGGGCCTGTCAGAGAATCATGAACGATTAATTTGGGGACCCAGTCAGCACTTAGCACTGAGGGGTGGATCAGAGAAATCTCGGCTCACAGGCTTGTATGGAGACAAATCAGGGCAGAACCAGCCTTGGGGGACCTGGCGTGCGGATGCCAGGGGTCCCGCCCTTTCACGGCTGCAGTGTAGCGGGGCCAGGCTCATTTTCCCAGGGTGGGGCGTGTTTTGTGATGCCAGGTAGCCCCAGACCAGGGCAGGATTACTGGATCTAGTCAAGTCAAGACTGCCTATTGGAAACCACGTGGCCTTCAGCAAGTCTCTGTTACCCTCTAGGCTTCCTAGGCTTGGCACCTATAGTGCTAGTGGTCCTACTCGATATGACCAGCAAGCGCCCCTGGAGCACCTCCTGTTACACGGCAGTGCACAAAGCAGACCAGTGCCTGCCCTCACAGAGCTCACATTCTAGCAAGATACGCAGAAAACATACTAGAAAAATAGGTACTTGTGGAGAAGAACAGAGTGAGGTCCAGAGCATGGGGACGCCGGGGGGACGAGGCTGACACTTAGGGCCCAGCAGTCGGGGATGTTCTTTGAGCAGAGACATACAGGAAGTGGCAGCAAACCGTGTGGCTCCTGGGCAGTGTTTCTGTCAGGCAGAGACCCTGGGAGGGTGTGAGCTGGGCTTGTTGGAGGGTCTGGAAGGAGTCCGTGTCGGGAAGGAAAGTAAGTGGGTCCTGGAGCAGGTCAGAGGGGAGCTCCTGAGGCGCCAGCGTGCAGGATTCGCTGTGAATGAAGCCTTGGAGAAGGCAGTTCCCTGGCGGGGCACAGGTTGCAGGCATGAAGCGGGAGTGATCTAATTGCATCTTAACAAAATTGCAGACACTGGTGGTCAGAGAACAGACTAGGTGAGCGGTGGGGTGAGTTGGGATGGGAATGAGGAGGCCACCGCGGTAAACCAGGCCGAGGGCAGAGGGTCCAGAGGGGGCTGCAGACCCATTTCGGAGAATGAGGGTGGGAGTTCCAGGAGGACCCTGTGTGGGCTGTGCGGGAGAGAGGCCAGGATGCCTCCAGGGCTTTAGTCTGAGCACGAGTGGAGTCTCCCTCCCTCGAGATGGGAGGGCTGTGGGAGCACAGGCTTGGAGGGAAGCTGAGTCTGGCCGCGGATGTGTCAGGTGCCACCTGGAAAGGAAGCTAGACAGCAGTCCATGAGGGGCTGCACATTTGGAAGCCACCAGGCTAGTGGTAGATGCGAGCCTTGGGAGAGATGGGGATGGGCTGAGGGGCAGAGCGGAATGGGGACCAGCTGGGCGGCTCCCAGGGTTCTGGAGCCAGAAGCAGAATGAGAGGCCGCATTTGCGGTGGTCTGGAGTACAGGATCTGGAGCTTCAATCCCAACTCTGCCGTTTTCTCTGTGTGACCTTGGCCCTGTGAGGCTTCACCTCTTGAGCCTGAGTAGCAGAGGTGACAGTACTGGCCCTGGTCCTTAGCAGGGGGATGGCAGGCAGGGTGGGGAGTGGTGCAGCACTGGGGAGCACTTAGAGGCTTTCTGGCCTGGTGCTGACTCCTGAAGCAGAGTTGTGTCTGGGAGCAAAGTTCTAGACATTCTGGAGAGAAGATTTGGGAGGGCGGCCCAGGTCCATAGCTGTCGGGGGAGGTGGGGAGAAGCCAGGAAAGGCCTCAGCGAGGAGAACGTGTGAGCCCAGGGTGAGTGGATTTGGATATTCCTGGCTGAAGCCATGGTGGGAAGGGAGCCAGGGCCACAGTGAAAGCACTCTCTGGGCCAGAGCAGGAGTGGTAAGAAGTTGGCAAGAAGAACCAGGTGGGGCGGCATCATGGAAGGCCTGGACACTGGCCTGAAGTGGGCGTTTGTCTGTTACTGTCAGGGGAGCGAGGAGATGGAAGGAAGGGAGTCCAAGCAGAGAAGGGATAACTGTGAAGACAGAAGCAGGTTGGTTCTGTCAGGCCTGAGTCAGACTTGGCCGGCTTTGAATCCCAGCTCTTCCAGTACTCACCATGCGACCTCAGCGTGTCATTTCACACTTGGAGCCACAGCTCTCTTTCTCTGTTCAGTGGCGTCCTTGTGGGGAGAATGTGAGTGAAGGGATGAAAATTGCTTGGCCCATGCCTGGCTCCTAGTAAGCCACAGAGAAACGTGAGTCGCTGCCAGTCAGGCTGAGAGGATGCCACTGAGGAAGTCCAGGCCAGGGTGGGACATGCTGCGCACAGCGGGGAAGGAGGGGGTGGCCAGAGAAGGGGACGGTGCTTTCCAGTCATACTCACATGTCTGCTCCCGTGTGTACATGTAGGGGCCTGGTGCAGGGCGCGGGGGTGCTGTTCAGAGTTGGACCCCCTGTCATCCATCCTACCAGTCTCCTATACCCTGAGGCCTGACCCACCCTGGCCCCCACGCCACCCCAGCAGCGGAGATGAGGGTGAGGGCTCCTTAGGAAGCAGAAAGGAGGCCACAGGGCCAAATGTGACACTCAGAAGGGCCACTGGAGACCGCGCATGGCGTTTCCTGCCAGCCCACCCAGCATCTAGCCCAGGGCCAGACTGGACACTGCCACTGCCCCGCAGGACCCAGCGGGCCTGTGCCTCAGGACCTCCATGTCCACACCAGGTTCAGCCTCCTTCTCTGGCACGTGACCTGTCTCCGCTCCCCAGTGTCCTGAGGCTGGGAGGGCATTAACAAACCACCTGGCACACAGCCCGTGCCCAGTTTGTGCCCACAGACAAAGCATGGGGACTGCGGAGGAGACAGACCCACAGAGCTCTCTGGGGAGGGTTTGTGAGGACCTGGCAGCTGGGGGTGCTGAAGGGTTGGGCAGGGCAGAGGCCACTTCCCAGCCTCAGAGGACGAAGCAGGACTTCTGACAAACAGAGCAGGATGCCCAGGTGGAGGGGCCGCCTGTCATCCGGCAGGCAGCACTCCCGTCCCGAGGCCCTGAGTGGCGCGGTGACGCGCTCAGGTCTGTGTTTTAGAGCGCGCGCTCTGGCTGCAGTGCGGAGGAGCTGGATCTGGGAGAGGCTGCAGGCAGGGAGTCCAGTTAGGAGGCTGGGACCGCAGCCCAGGTGAGCTGAGAGGAGGGCTGGGCCTAGGTCACGGCTGTGGGGATACCGAGGAGGGGCCCATCCAAGACATAATAGAAGCTTCTGGGGGGCAGAGAAGCCACCGGGGCTCTTGGCTCAGGCAGCCTGCAATACCCTCCACCGAACCAGTGAGTTCCGCAGAAGAGGGAGAGGAGGAGGAGGGAGAGGAAGCCAGTGGCGGCAGGTGGCATCTTCGGGGCCCAGTGGCAGGCAGGCAAGCAGTCCAGGCCGACTCCACCTCTGGCTTAACCCCTGTCTCAGGGCAGCCCAGGCACCTCCCTGGAGAGGGCAGGGCGGCCCAGTGGCAGGCAGGCAACCAGTCCAGGCCGACTCCACCTCTGGCTTAACCCCTGTCTCAGGGCAGCCCAGGCACCTCCCTGGAGAGGGCAGGGCCGGGCCTTTCCCTCCCGGTTTCCTATGAGGCACCCCATCCCCTCATCTCACCTCCATCACCACCCCCAGGCACTTGCTGGTTTGAGGCTCTCGAGGGGCTGGGGGCGGGCAGGCCCTGAGTGCAGCATAGGTTGGTCTGGCTGTGCCCAGGGCCCCTTCCCCGTCCCCAGAGCTATCCTGGGGGGCAGGGCCCGGTCTCCTGAGGCCCCAGTGCCTCCCTGACTAGTCCCCCTGTGTTTCTTCCCCTGCTGCAGATGGCGGTGGGGCCCCCTGACTGCCCTGTGGGAGGACCGCTGACTTTCCCTGGCCGGGGTTCTGGGGCTGGGGTCGGGACAGCCCTGACCCCCCTCCCACCCCCCAAGATGCCCCCCCCCACGATCTTGAGCACGGTCCCTCGGCAGATGTTCAGCGACGCAGGTAGCGGGGACGATGCCCTGGATGGGGACGATGACCTGGTGATCGACATCCCGGAGTGACCTCGACATCATGCCATGCCCACCACAGCCCTGCCCGGCGCCCTCCCCGTGCCAGCACACACGAGCCCAGCTTCCTCGGAGGTGTTTATTGACGCCCAGCTGCCATGCTCCGGCCACTGACACAACCAGAAAAGGCGTAAACATGCACGGGTGTCCCCCAGGAGGGTGGCAAGGGCCCTGCCTTCAAACTCTGGCCCCCTCCAGGGGACAGTTATTTAAACGAGTGGCCAGGAGCATCTGCCCCCTTCTGGGGAGGCAGAGACCCTGCGATGGCCACCCCTTTAAAAGGGCAGCTGTACAGGGCTAGGTTTTTGCAATGAAGTTTCTGTATTAAAGGAGTGGCTCTGGGTGTGTTTTTTGTCCTTTTCTCTTTTTCTGAGGCATTCTCCTCCTCTGAACCTCCCCTAATCCGACCTCCTCCCTGTGGGGGGAGAGGGACGGGGCAGCGTGGAGAGGTAGGAGCGAGGAGCGTGGGGGCCTGGGGCCGGGCTCTGAGCACTGCCCGGGTGTGCAGAGGAGGGGGGCTTTGCATATTTGCAGGGACTAGCGAGTCAGGCAGGAGGTTTGCATATATGAATATAGAACTCCACAGCCCCTCACGAGCAGACAGACCCAGGTCACAGAGATTCACAAAAATAAGACAGGTAGTGCAGGGTGGGGGCAGCCCACCCCGTGTAAACGTGCAACACACTCGTGCGAAGGTTGGGTACTGCACCCGGCCCGATAGGCCTGTACCAGGACACTGCTGTCCACTCAGGCTGAGGACAGAGCCCCAGCCGCGGGGGGCAGCTCGCTGGTCAGGGCGTGCCAGCGCTCCAGGGCTGCGTCCGGCTGCTGCAGGCAGTCACTCCAGTGCTTCCGAGCCTCGCCTCGGGCACCTGACCCCAGGGACACGCCACCTGGGGGAGCAAGTGGCAGGGTCAGGGCCACCTCCCTGCCACTCACCCTCCCTCAGCACCCTCAGCCAGCTCCTCCCTCACCGATGAAGTCATTTGATTTGCCAATGTCATAGTCCCAGACGGTGACTTCCAGGGTCTTGGTGGCCAGAGTGGAGAGCTCTATCTCGTAGAAAAACTCCTGAGAACAAGGCCAGCCACCCATTCGTGAGCCGGCTCCCCAGCCCCTCCTTGGCCTCCCTCTGCATCCCATCCCCACCCGGGTACCTCGTTAAATTCTGGGTTGAGAGTCTTCTTCTTCACGCATGTCTTATGCTTGGATTTCTTGTCCACATCAGGCCTCAGGTACCTAGAGGTGGGGTGGAGGGAGAGGAACTGAGGGGTCAGAGACAGGCCAGGCCCAACTCGGGCCAGGGCAGGCTCCCTGGGGAGGAGAGGGTCAGGGCGAGGGCTCACGTCTTGACGTAGGGGTCCGAGTAACCGTTGACGTCCATGGCAGCCAGATGGGCGCAGCGCAAGATGCCTACCAGCAGTCCCCGGCGCCGCGAGCTGTAGCTGAGACTCAGCAGGATGCGGCCGCGCTCCTCCAGCAGCCCCGGGCCCTGCTCCGCCTGCTCCAACTGCGGGGCACAGATGCAGGGTCAGCCTGGGCCCCTGCCGCCTCCCACCCACGTGCATCCCCATCCCTGTGAGATGCCTCACCTCCTTCAGGTAACAGGAGATGCCCCTCAGCGCCGCCGACATGGAAGAGGGGGATGCCAGCTGAGGGGGCAAACAGAAGGTTCTGGAAGCCTGGCCTCCCCAGGGCCCCCTCCCCCGGTGCCCCTGCAGCCCCCCGCACACACCGGGACCTGGCGCTCGAGGCAGATGTTAAAATGTTTCTTCTGCGAAGGCTTCAGGCGGCGGAGGGGCACGCGGATCTCCCCAATAAACTCATTGTGACTCAGCTTGTCCTCATCACAGACGGCAATCCTGGTGGGGAACTGCAGCGTCAGGGCCCCTGGGGTACCTGAGCCCTGTTCTGGGGTGTAGGAAGGTCCTTGAACCATCCCAGCTCTGCCCTACACACTACGTCTCATCTGGAAGACAGGCTGGCACTTGAGAAGGACAAGCGGATTTGCCCATTCCTCTGTCCCTCCCTGTGCAGCCAACCGGCTGTCCCTGGTCCATCAGAACGTGCTCGGCCATTGTGGGAAGCCCTCAGAAATCTTGGAGCACCCTGATCACTGCCTCCATTCAGGGCGTGGGGGCAGAAGCCAAACACCACAGTGGATGTGGCCATAGACACAGGCCGTGAGAGCCTTGGACAGCCAGACAAGGACCCCATGCCTCCTCGGGAACCCCGTTCTTTTCCTGCATGCAGCAGAGAGCCAGTCCCACAGGGACTCACTAAGAAATGATTGCTCTCCGGCCACCTGTCCTCCGGCAGCCCCTGCCCTGCCTCTGCAGTGACCCACTACCAGGTTGGGCATCTGTGGCATGGAGGATGGGCAGATCCCAACCCTGCAACTTCTGAGCCACCTGTGTGACCTTGGGCAAGTCACTTGATCACCCTACGCCTCAATTCCCATCTGTAAATGGAGATGGTCAAGGGAAAGAAAGAAATGTGAAAATACTAAGCCCAGGCTGGGCCCTGGTGAGTGCTCATTTTTAGGTCTCATTCTGGTTTTGGCCTCTTGGTCTCCCCTCCATTCCACCCGCACACCCGACACCAAGGTGGCCTCCCTGCCACACGGCCCTGACCATCAGGGAAGGTCCCAAATGCAAATCCAAGCACAAAGGCAGAGGTCTCTCCGGAGCCTGGGTCTCACTGCCCGCCACCTGACTTGAGGGAATACTCTCCTCACATCTTCATCTCCTGGGATGATGGAGCAAGTTCCCTGTCCCTGAAGACTTCACTCCTTAAGAGATTTTAGGGGAACTCAAGGCATGGAAGGGGCAGACCAAAGCTGCAGAGGTCTGACTTCAGCCAAGGGCTCTGAGAAGGAGTCTCGGTAACCCAGGAACGCTTTTGGGAGGGGGCAGAGCTTGGACTGAGCCTCAGATGAGCGGAATTTAGGCTGGCAGGAAGGAGCTTTCCAGATAGAAAACAACAAGTTAAGTTCAGGAGTTGTGGAACTGGCCAGTTGGAAGAAGGGAGTCCTCTGTTTGAGGGGCAGGAGATATTTTTGTTTTTGAGACAGAGTCTCCCTCTATCACCCAGACTGGAGTGCAGTGGTGCAATCTCGGCTCACTGCAACCTCTGTCTCTTGGGTTCAAGCGATCCTCCTGCCTCAGCCTCCCAAGTAGCTGGGATTTACTGGCGCACGCCACCATGCCCAGCTAATTTTTGTATTTTTAGTACAGATGGGGTTTCACCAAGTTGGCCAGGCTGGTCTCAAACTCCTGACCTCAAGTGATCCGCCCACCTTGGCCTCCCAAAGTGCTGGGATTACAGGCGTGAGCCACCACACTTGGCTGGCAGGAGATATTGGGGGGCAGGAATGGCAGGGAAGTATTTTGGCCTGCTGCCAAAGGGGCTAGGGAGCTGCTGATGGTTCTTGAGCATCAGAGAGGTACAGACTTAATGGGACATAGATCAACCAACCAGCAGTTACAATGTCAGCTGTCCCTGAGCTGCTGCTGGACCTGGGTGGTGGGGAGGGGAGCCCTCACCTGAGCACCTTGTGCGTGATGTCATCATCCGTGATCCCACTGTACGTCAGGTCCTCATTCCACACGGGATTCAGTGTGTTCCTCTGAGTCTTCGTTTTTAGCTTATTAGCCTGGGGTGTGGGGATGAAAGGTTCTCAATACCTGTCCTCCAGCCCCACGGGCTGGAGGCACGGGCTGGGCCGAGCAGGGCGAGAGGAGGCTGTTACCTTACAGGCTCCAGGCAGCAGGTGCAGCTTGACGTAGGGGTCGGCGAGGCCATTGAAATCCATGGGCTTGAGGCCCTGGAGAGGAGGGCAGGGGAGAGGGCTGGAGGCTCCCGGCACCTTTCTCCCTCTTGTAGTGCTGGACCCTGGAGGAGCCCAGAAGGGGGTTGCAAGGGCAGGAGGAAGGAGCAGGCCTGGGAAGGGAAGGAGGAATGGGCCCCCTCTGGGGGCTGCACGCAAACCGGCCCGGGCTGGGGCAGCAGGGAGTGCCCACCTTGGCCCTGAGGATGCTACAATGCAGAGTGCAGGAGGCCCGGTCATAGAGAAGGTCAAACTCCAGCATGCCCAGGGCGGCTGGAGAGAGAGGAAAGGCAGCATGGATCGGTTTGGAGACAGGTGTGTGAGAGAGGCCAGCAGGTGGGCACTGGCTGTGTGTGTCTCTCTCTCTCTCTTGCCAGCCGGCGAGTGTGAGTGCAAGAGGCTGAGTGGGCCCGTGCGTGTGTGCGTCTGGGTCCCTGGCTCGGCTGCAACTGGGGCTGTGTGGGTGGTGGAGTGTCTCAGCAGAAATACTGAATATTGAGCCTTGCTGAAGCTGTAATCTCCACACCGACTGCAGCTGTGGCAGCCATCCCTGCCACCTCCCCCCCCCACTGCCCTCCTCCCCTACCTACATGCACAGCCAGCAGGGCCCATTCCCCTCCCCCGGCACAGCAAGCCTGGAGACCCCCACCAGCGCATGGGGCCTCCAAGCCCCCAGACTCACTGGCATCATCCGAGTCATAGCTGTCCACTTCCGCACCATCCTCAGGCGTGGTGGCCCCAAGGAGGGCTGCAGGGGGGGCCAGAGCCAGGGGGGCCAGATGGGTGGGGGCCTCGCCCCCGCCGCCGCCCCCTTCAGGTCCGGGTCCTCGGCGGGGGAAGTAGTCAGAGATCTGGCGGATGGGCCGGATGGGCCCGGGGCACACGTTGATGGCCATGTGCTCCTGGATGTTGATGGTCATGCGGTCGCCCCTGCGGCCCCTCATGCAGCACCCCTGGCTGGGAGAGGGCGTGTGAGCCAATGAGCCCATCATACCTAGCCATTCTGGCTGAGGGCCAGGCGACAGCCTCCTCGGTCTGCAGGGCCCTCACTAGCCTCCCTTCCTAGGTGTCGAGGGAGAGGGTGGCCTGTGCCAGCCGGTGGCAGGCAGGAGGCCTGGGCCCTGCAGACCCCACGCTGGCTCCACAGGGGCTGGGCTGCCAACCCACTCCCCGCAGAAGTCGAAGTTGCACCACCACCCCGTCCTCACCCACCCACCTCCAGGTTGTCCCTGTATCATCTTGCCAGCTCCTTCCTCTCCTCCAGGGCTCCCCTCTGCTCTGCTCCTGAGCCTGCCTGTTCCCCAAGGGACCCTGCAGGGCCCCGCCTCTGTTTCTCGGAGGCTCTGTCCTCCTCTGCACCAGGCGCTGGTCTAGTCAAGGTGTCACCCACCCCTCTAGGCTCCCACTGCCCACTGTCCCTTCATTCAGCCCCAGGACCTGTCTGCCTGCCTGGTTCTCCCGCTTGCTCACCACAGCCCCCGGTGGAGACCCCAGCCTCAGATGCCACCCCTGGCTCCCCAGGGGAGCCAGAAATTGCAGCCGCAGGAGAGCCGAACACCCCCGTAGCGCACACAGGCTGGCACTCTCCCCAGCACCCTCACGCCCCCGGCCTGCCCAGCCCCCTGCACCTGCCTCTGCCTCCAACAGGTGCCCAGGCAATGGGGGGACGGCGGGCGCAGGCTGGGCGGCGGCGGCCGGCGAGGAGAGCGCGGAGTCCGGC